CACAAAAGATGAGATTTCTAAAACGACCAAACAGAACGTATTCTGTCTGTTTCTTTACATACCACTCATGTATGCCGAGTCCATTAGCACCTGATTCAATCAGGGTTCAGTCATTCGTTTGTTGTCTATTCTGAACATCTATCTCATCATCCAATTAGAGTTATGAATCCTTCAATCGGCGCTATCAGTAAATGGAAATATTTACTTCTACTGAAACACGATTCCCTGCAACTGTAAACAGTAAACTTGTTTATCTAAGACAAATCTATAAATAAGCCGTGAAATATCTAAATTACAGACTGGGATATATAATTAAACTTAAAGAATTTGAGCGGCGGCTTGAATTGGTTCCACTTTTAAGCCGCGGCTCAAATTTTTTTAATTCGGCCTCAGTTCGGATCGTTTGTGAATCTGGTTCTCACTTTGTTGTCCTTGTCATTCTGTTGAAAAATGAATAGTTCATAGAACATTTTTTTTATAAATTTCTAATCCAATTTTTTATTCTTTTAAGTTATTTCCACAAATTCAATTTCCTCGTCCAGTGGTTCAATTCCAACCTAAACCTGATTAAAAACAAATTACTTTTTTCAAATTTATTATTTCTTCTGATCGTCAGAACTTTCTTGGTAAACACAACTTACTTAATTTTTTGTTTGTTTCTGATGTGTGTGATGAACAGTGTGATATTTTTTGATACATAATTTTGATCTCGATATCCACGTTGGACGCTTTTGATTTGAGGATCAATGCGTAATTAAAGATCAAAATTAACCTTGGAAACTAGTATTTAAAGAGATTTAGGCCGTCATTCAAGTATTATCTTTTTGGGTCCCCCTGTATTTAAGAAATAAATGTTTTTACCCCCATATTACAATCTTATACAATAATATTATTAGCGCTTCATAAACGTTTCTTCCTGCCCAAAAAAATAAACTAAACCATTAATAGAAACATCTATACAGGCTATTATAAATATTCCGATGTATTTATCCATTTTTTGTTTGTTTAATAATTCAAACCAGTGCACGTGATGATAGAGGAGAATTGGTTAGTAAAAAAAAAACTTTTTAAGGGTTTAGACTTTCATAAAGTTCCACAAAAATCTGAAAGGTTTCACAAATTTGAAAATAGTTTTTAACATTAAAAGTTTAATAAAAGCAAATTTTTACAGAATTCGGTAGGAAGTGTGCAGTATTTGTTTGCGGCCAAAGTCCAAAAATCTCAAAAAAATGATTTCCCATGGAAAGGGACTCAAGTTGTATTTTAGTTCAAGAACAACAAACCAGACCATGTGTGCAGTCTTAAGTATTTCAGTTAGCTAATTGATTTATAATGTACTCGACATGGTTAAAATATTTGCTTTTAAACAACATAAAAAAATCAAGATTTTAAATAATAATTCTTGTTTTTTATTATTAGAGATATATAGAAAGACATATTTTCTTATTGTGAGCATAGATTAATTAAAAATAATAGATAGAACACCCGTCTTTTCAAGATTTTTGGGTTTTTCGTTCACAATCACCGTCAGGCAGAAGCCAAAAGGAGTTACGAGAATCCTCGAGAGAGAGAGCCTGTTATATGCCACTGCGCGTAACTCCTGTTGGCTACTGCCTTAATCTCTAAATCTTGAAAAGCCGACATCTAGTGTTCTATCTGTTATTGTTAAATAATCTATGATTGTGAGGAACAACTAGTTTCTTCTTTCAGTGTACTCATAGTCCTACACAAATCAGATCGTAAATAATATTGATATTTGAAATTTTGCAAAGGAATTGAGTCTTTGTAACAAACTCTGATTTTCTGATACCTATATTTTTTCCATCTGAGGGTGTAAACCTTTGATATTTCAAACTTAGATTCTTTCATCATTGCATTTCATTCATAGTTTGAAATATCTAAGGTCTACGGCATTGGGTTGCAAAGATATAGAGATTACAAAATCATAGTTTGTAACAAAGACTCAATTCTTTTGCTCATTTTTTGCATATTATTAAAGAAGAGCTCAAAGGTTTTCCAAAAGTGTATCAAATGTTATAGATTTGCATCATAATAAAGAAAGAAACGACTATTTTGGGTAAACCAGACGTCAGCCTGAATAGGATTAAAGAAATACATTCCGAATGCCGAATTGTAATTTCGTAAAGGTGAACTTTAAATCTTTATTGTGAAAATAGACCAATTTTGCATGGAATTTACTTTCCTTGCTGAATATATTTCTTTTAAAAAGAACTCGAAATTCAAAGTTCTTAATTTCAGACAATCGTCGTCGTACATATCAATACAATGAAGACGACTTTCTATTTCAATTTCAAGGTTTAAAGGGTAGTTTTGTGAATCGTCCAAGAAAGGAACTGTCGTTATTTCAAGTGACCTTTCTTTAAAGGAGGAGTATGCACGATTTACAACAGTGCCTTTTCCTCTCTAAAATGAAGAGCCTTTTAAAATTACGTACAAAGTTCCTTTAAGGGTCACTTAAAATTACAAAGTTATTGAATATTTTTAAAGACAGATTTTCAATTTTTATTTTTTTATTTTATCAAAGTTTAGATCCTTTCCTTAGTCTCTGGTTGGTCCACTATAAAGTAGGATGCAGAGAACCCTTTAGAGTTTATCGTGTCATCAGACTTAAACCTAACAATAAATTTGTTCAAACATAAACAAGAACAATTTCCAAAATTATTTGAAACTAAGCTTTTAGGCATTCAAAAGAGCATACCCGATTTAAAACGGGTTTCTTTAAGACTTTTTTCGATAAAAATGGTTAAAAATGTTTCTGTAGTAGATATCCTCGACAAGTCATTTTTTTGTAAAACCAAAATTAAAGATAATTGCAATTGTAAATCGGACATATCCTCTATAAATGTAAGGTTATTTATAAATTAGACGTTTAAATTTTAGAAATTATTTTAGAGAAAGGAATTGAGGCTTTGCCACAAAATCAGATTTTCTAATCCTTATAGCCTTGCAACCCAATGTTGTAGACCTTCGGTATTTCAAACTATGAATTCTAATGGATCAAATAATTTAAGTTTGAAATATCAAAGGTTCACATTATCTGATATAGCGCGAGCGATTAGAAAATTTGAGTTTGTGATAAAGACTCAATTCCTTTAACAAAATATTTTAGAAAATGTTTAATTAAAAACCTGAGCAGTAAGGCCTCTTCCGTTGAAATTATATCTGCCGGAATCTTGTTTCCGCAAAATCTTCCGTAAGATGCTCCGGAATCATCATATCCGGAAAAGACCTGCATTAATAGTATTTATTTGTTTTTCTGTATCTGTATCATTATCTGTCTCTTTTCATTTGTATCAAAACATTTCTCTTCCTTTGTGTTCATAAATCACAAAACAAATTATCCATTCTAAAACATTTCTTATGGTAAAACTGTGGAACAATATACGGAAAGCTTAATTTAGGATAAGCAATTTAATCTTTTTTATCTTTTTAGAATTTATGAGAGCCGGTAAAAAATCTAGAAATCCTAAAAATAATAAGTAAGTTATTTATTGTAGAAAGCGCATCAATCGAACACTAGATAATTTGTATTTTATAAGTCTATACAAACTTGTAAAGACATGAAAAGTTTACCTCAATAAAATCGTAAGCACAATCTTGTTCCTCTTCTAGTTCAAAAGTTATGAAGCTTAGCGACACTTGACCAGCCTAAATTATGGATGGTCACGTTTATCATTTTTCCTTCATAAAAATGGGAAATACACGTTTATCATTTTTCCTTCCTTTATAAAAATGGGAAATACACGTTCATCATTTTTCCTTCCTTTATAAAAATGGGAAATACACGTTTATCATTTGCCATTCCATTTTGTTAAACTATAGTATAGTCCAATTCATAATGGTACAATGGTAATGGTAAAAAAGTATTTTCTGATAAATAAAAATGTGATTTTTGGTACGGAAACAACAGAGGTAATTGTCAGCATATAACACACTTTTCAAGCTTGAAAAACGAAGATAACTCCCACGTTTCTTATTTTTCAACTTACGGTTTTAAGGTAACAGTTGTTAATCGAAAATTTAATGAATTTAATCGTCCAAAAACCGGTTTCAATTGAGTGGCGACTTAAATTTTGAAATAAAATAAACATTAAAAACAATTGAATCAGTTATAGCTATTGCCCAAATTTTTCCGCAAAAAAAATTTACTGTTTCAAGTTGTTAAGAAATAGATAACGCGTACCATCCATATAGATTATCAAGTAAAATAGGAGGCAACAGAGAAATGAACCAATTATACACGACGTCACAAGTGTCAAATATAACAAGGAAAACACGAAATTTTCTCACATTAGTGACATATTTTCCAAGATCAAATAAAACAGTGTAACGACAAAAAATTAAACACATATAATTTCACTTATTTTACTGTAAGATAAGCATTTTATTCTAAATTTATCACTATTATTAATGATTTTGTCGAACACAAAAACTAAGTTGACACTTGTGACGTCAGAATACAGCTGTACTGAGAGTGTACAAATTCTACGTTGCCATCTATTGTACTAGAATCTAAATGAACATCAGCGGCGGAAAATAAATCGTTTACCAAAAGTGTATAAAAAAAGTTTTTTAGTAACCCAAAATTATGGAAGATTGAATTTTAAACCATTTGATGCTTAGATTTTCTATTCTATCAATAACATTATGAACAAAATTAAAAATATTTTGAGTGCATTAAACAACTTTTAGAACGATATTCAAAAAATGTCCCTAAGATCCCAATTTGATGTGGGACCCCCCTGTATGTACTATGTACTATGTGGGACCCCTGTATGTACTATGTATGTGGGACCCCTGTAGGTACTATGTGGGACCCTTGTATGTACTATGTGGGACCCCTGTATGTACTATGTACTATGTGGGACCCCTGTATGTACTATGTACTATGTGGGACCCCTGTATGTACTATGTACTATGTGGGACCCCTGTATGTACTATGTACTATGTGGGACCCCTGTATGTACTATGTACTATGTGGGACCCCTGTATGTACTATGTACTATGTGGGACCCCTGTATGTACTATGTACTATGTGGGACCCCTGTATGTACTATGTACTATNGTATTTTATAGGAAAGTGAGTTGACTCATGAACTGTATTGTATTGTATTGTATAAAAAAGTGGGTTGAACAATGACCTAAAGCATATTGTATTGCATATGAAATTGGATTGACCAACAAATTAAACTCTACTTTTTTGCAACATTTAAGGTTTGGAGGAGTACATTAAAATATGCATAGACTTTGATATCTATTTGCTTTTTTATGGGCAACAAAACACAGTTTAGTTTTGTATTTTGAAAAAGAAATTAGATCTTGTTCCCAAACTCTGATATTATAGTGTCTGTGCCACTAAATGTTGTAGACCATAGATATTTCAAACTTTGAATTCTGTGAATCAAAAGTTCTAAGTTTAAAAATTAAGGTAGCAAAGATAAAGGAATTAGAAAATTTGAGATTGAGGCAAAGACTCAATACTTTGATATACAATTTCATAATTTAACTATTTCACAAAAAAGGTTTTAAATACAGGAATAACCAGGACATTGCGAAATAAAAGGTAAAAATTATTTATAAAATAAGAAAAATAAGAAAATAATTTAGAAATGTGGACAGCTGTAGTTCGTTGATCTCTCATGTCTATAATAAGGATCAAATTATCGTTTAGTAGTTCTGGAGATGTCACAAAGAAACTGAGTTTTTGCCACAAACTCCGGTTTTTAATCTTTACATCGGTAATTTCCTTACTTTAGATACATATCGTCATAATCAGAAAGACCCGGAATTGATTTATAATTAGTCAGACGACTTCACCATCTAATTTTACAAATATGAGTAATGAAAGCTTTAATAACAAAATTGCCCTATTCCTGCCAATTCTAAAATGTGGTCTGCCTTTATTGTGCGTTTAAAACAGTTTTTAAGTGACGATCCATTGCTGGCATCAATGCTCGATTCACAACAGTACCCTTAAAAGATTTGTCTCATCGAGTATAAATTAAATATCCATGTTTTTGTTTCTTTAAACTGGTATTTTCATTTGCGGGTTCTCTGCAAAAGTTTCAAAGAAGCAATGATGAAATTAACAGAATTAAAGAGATTTTGAGTCTGGAAAACCATATTTTATTCCACATTTTGGATCAGATTAAGGTTTCAAAGGTATCGTTGTGAATCGGGCATTGTTTTTTTTGCAAGGAGGGTTACTTGAAATTACGCTTAAAGTCCATTTCATGATTAATGAATAATGATTAATGATTAATGATTGATGATTAATGATTAATGATAAGAAACAGCAATTTATGATATTTTAAATGGTTTATCATTTAAAACAATTAATATTTCAATCAGTTTGGTAATAATAAGTAGTAAAAAAAAACTTTCTCGACCAGCTCCACTCCTCTCCTCAACTTTTACTTAAAATTTATTAATTTTAAACCTTTTCCTAAGCGGAAGAAGCAAAACTGCGCAAAATATAGTTGTGCAAAAGCGAAATTGCGCGAAAAGTATTGCGAATGAAAACCCTAGTTGCAAAGATATAAGAATTTTACAGTTTCTGATTTCACGGATAAGAAAATAGCAGAAGCAAACAAATATATTATTCTCTGAGCTTAAAGACTAATAAATTACTAAAATAAATCCCTGCCAGCGTTTTGATTAAAAATTAATTGGATTTTTCGCTAATTTAATGAAATTGTTTCTGAAAGTGTAAATAAATAGTTGGAAAAGAAAGTTAATACACTTTTTATCCTCTATCTATTTATAAATTTAGCTTGTCTGTCTGTCTGTTTGTTTGTATCCAATAAACGTCAAAACGGCTAAACCGATTAGGCCCAAATTTTATATTGCAACTCAAAGGAAGGTTTGTGGATAAATAAAGATAACAAATGTTGCCAGGAAACTTGTCGAAATTTGTTTTATTTGAATATGCACAAATTTTAAAAGAGAAAACTCGCAAATTTCAGAATAATTTAGTGAAACCCTTAATAACGAATACATCGTAAGAATTCATCAAATGTCGTATTCTTCACTTTCTGATAATGGAATGTTGCAGATATTTAGTTTTTTAATTAAATGATTATATGGAACTCTTTAAAACTGTTCCCACATATTCATGGCTATTCATTTATTTTCACAAATACTGAAATTTACGTAATATTGTATAAAACCCATTGAAAAATTGTCAAGACGACATTTGATAAATTCTTCCGATGTATTCGTTATTAAGGGTTTCACTGTGTAAAAAGCTAATTTTTGCATGTACTACGACTTCGTACATCTTTTAGCTGTACAAGGGTTTGCCCATTTGTATAAATAGTATAATAATAAATATAAACTATTTGGTCTCACACTTCAGGCCCTTGCTGACTTTTACGGGTAAGACAGAGTTAGTTGTGATAATAATTCCAAAAATTATGTGTATTTTGAAATTGATGAAAAGTCAAATTAAAAGAATTTTTTAACAATTTATCTCTAAAAAATCTGTTTTTGCCAATTTTGACATTTTTGGATTTTTTAAGAATAATTTTTCTGGGACACCCTGTGGGTAATGAAAACTATTATACAACTTGGGGTTAGCCTCGTTTTTAAGACGAGGTATTTGAGGTCTCATGGGTTCTATTTTATAACTTGTGTCTAAAATGTGCCACAAACTCCAATTTTCGAACCCCCAAATCATTTTAGCCTAATTGTGTAAGCCTTAAGTATTTCAATAAAAGATTATTTTATCCAATATAAGTTCGCAATATCTTAAGGTCTATGTTATTCGGTTGCAAAGTTATGATATAAGGATTACTGAGTCAATGAATTAAAACATATAGGCATAATAATCTACAGTAATATATGTATACAGATATATTATTTTTGATATTAAATTTTTGTTTTATCATCTTTAAAAGTGATATTATGCAAGATGAAAGACGAGGGAAAAGGTTGATAATAGCCTCAGGGGAGGCCTATAGGGGATTTGGTAGAAATTTGAGAAAGAAGGGGAAAATGCGGAAGAGGGGG